GGTATGGCATGAAGGTTTAATATCCATCAAGATGGTTAAGGCAGGGCTGCCGATATTTATTGTGAAGATCGTGGACTCGTATTTAGCCCATAGGAAGATAAAAGTCGAAAGTTGATGAATTTCACTAATATATACCAACAGCAACAGATACTATACACGGGCCTTTGCTTGTCAAAGACGCAAGGTTGAAGGTCAACACCTCAGTGAAATACCTGGAAATAGTGCTGCAGTGGGACTCTGTAACTCAAAGCGAAAGCGAAAGCATGCGTAATCGACTGCTTTTGCCGTTTCGGTACTCTGTATCAATATTCGGATGAGGTCGGAGACGCCGAACGTGAGTTCGTAAGCGAAGCAACAGTGGGACTCTGTAACATGTGTCGCATAGCGAAAGCGTAGCGAAAGCGAAACGAAGCGAAGTATACGACTTCGCTTTCCGGTACTCTATATGTAGTTCGTTATGCTTTCGCTATCGTCATACGATTTCATACGAAATAGAACGAAGTTGGTGGAGTTAAATTCGGCAACAGTGTTGCGGATCCCATTTATTCAAAGGAAACATCCCATTGGATCAAAAAAGCGGCATTTACGAATTATTGTATTGTTAATTTTTGGTTTCAATCAGAAATAAAGCACTTGGAGAAGTTTCCGAGAGAAAAGATATTCAATAAAACATCAAAAACACATATAAAGATGATTTATTTCTATGAATTGGAATGAATGTATTGACTACAAACAGATATTGACATCAAGGCCAACAAAAATAGTAATCAGCCAAACAAGAACTTATTCTGCACAGAGCAGCTCATTGGAAAATATGTACCTACTTTGTTCATATAAAAAATTGGTATTTATATTCTCACTATAGGTATATCTCAGGCTCAGGTATAGCTTTCTATTTATATGCAACTAGTAAAGGCAAATGATCTGAGAATAACAATAATATTGTAAGATATGTAACTGCTTATATTTATAATGGACATATCATTCTATAATCTAACACTCAGTTTATTATTATTTACATACTATAATGTACCTAATACCTATCAGAACTTGCTTCTCTATGTGGCAAATTAAACAAGATGATAAGCACATATAATTCCTTGAATTGCCTTCTGCAAGGCAGCTTTATATTGACAGTGCATATATACAGATGCACTTTTTCTTACAGTTCACTTTAGAATCTTGGATGGAATTATTAATGTAGTGAAAGTAGAAACCGTTCTTGTTCTTGTTCAACATAGTAAATAATGTTCAGTTAATCCTGTTTCATGGAATTTACTCTTGAATCTCCCTTATTGGTACACAGTAATATTACAGTTCTTCTTGGGTGTCTCCAAGGTTTTTGATTTCCAAATCATTTTCCCTTCCAATGCACTTATTATGCAAATTTTTCAAATTTCAACGTTCCAGGCTTTCTGTTATGTTTCACTGTTGTAGGTATCGGCATATTATATTAGTAGGATTCTTTAATTACCTATTATTGTCTTCTTCAATGGACTCACACCAAAGACATATTTTTCTTAAAAAGGATTCAGTGAGACAACATTCAGTAATGGCACATTTCATTTTTTGGAGAAGAATGAATATGAATTATTCCAGACCCTATTCAACAGCACTAATGACAGTTTTCAGTTTATTTTTCAACTACCAAATGTTATCATCACACTGTCTATCATATTTTTTATCTCACGTCTCACGTTCTTTAATCCCCTACCTTAATCCTACCAAAGGGAACTTCCATCTCTCTGGAATATCTTTAGGATTTTGTTCGTAAAACTGAGGAATCTGTCCCACTGACTGAGTTGTGTTTTTGCTCGCTTTGTTATCCATGTTTGGGTTCATTCCTCATTTATTAATCTATTATTTTTCTCAAATCAACACAAAGTTCGAACTAGGAACAACAACAAAAACCAATACCTATAACCTCAATCGTTGAGAATCGCAGAAAGCGACAACCAAAATCCTTCGCTTCTGCTTCGCTTACGAACTCACGTTCGGCGTCTCCGACCTCATCCGAATATTGATACAGAGTACCGAAACTGCAAAAGCAGTCGATTACGCATGCTTTCGCTTTCGCTTTGAGTTACAGAGTCCCACTGCAGAAGCGAAGGATTTTGGTTGCCGCTTTCTGCGATTCTCAACGATTGAGGTTATAGGTATTGGTTTTTGTTGTTGTTCCTAGTTCAAACTTTGTGTTGATTTGAGAAAAATAATAGATTGATAAATGACGAATGAACCCAAACATGGATAACAAAGCGAGCAAAAACAGAACTTCAGTCAGTGGGACAGATTCCTCAGTTTTACGAACAAAGTCCTAAAGATATTCCAGAGAGATGGAAGTTCCCTTTGGTAGGATTAAGGTAGGGGATGAAAGAACGTGAGACGTGAGATAAAAAATATGATAGACAGTGTGATGAAAACATACAGTTCATTTGGTAGTTGAAAAATAAACTGAAAACTGTCATTAGTGCTGTTGAATAGGGTCTGGAATAATTCATATTCATTCGAATTATCCTTCTCTTTTAGATTCCTGATACATCAAAACAGGCAGATATAAGTAGCTTCTCCAAAAAATGAAATGTGCCATTACTGAATGTTGTCTCACTGAATCCTTGTTAAGAAAAATATGTCTTTGGTGTGAGTCCATTGAAGAAGACAATAATAGGTAATTGAAGAATCCTACTAATATAATATGCCGATACCTACAACAGTGAAACATAACAGAAAGCCTGGAACGTTCAAATTTGAAAAATTTGCATAATAAGTGCATTGGAAGGAAAAATAATTTGGATAGCAAAAACCTTGGAGACACCCAAGAAGAACTGTGTAATATTATGTACCAATAAGGGAGAATCAAGAGTAAATTCCATGAAACAGGATTAACTGAACATTATTTACTATGTTGAACAAGAACAAGAACGGATTCTACTTTCACTACATTAATAATTCCATCCAAGATTCTAAAGTGAACTGTAAGAAAAAGTGCATCTGTATAAATGCACTGTCAACATATAGCTGCCTTGCAGAAGGCAATTCAAGGAATTATATGTGCTTATCATCTTGTTTAATTTGCGACATAGAGAAGCAAGTTCTGATAGGTATTACATTATAGTATGTGAATAATAATATACTGAGTGTTAGATTATAGAATGATATGTCCATTATAAATATAAGCAGTTACATATCTTACAATATTATTGTTATTCTCAGATCATTTGCCTTTACTAGTTGCATATAAATAGAAAGCTATACCTGAGATATACCTAGTGAGAATATAAATACCAATTTTTTATATAAACAAAGTAAGGTACATATTTTCCAATGAGCTGCAAGTGCTTTATTTCTGATTGAAACCAAAAATTGACAATACAATAATTCGTAAATGCCGCTTTTTTGATCCAATGGGATGTTTCCTTTGAATAAATGGGATCCGCAACACTGTTGCCAAATTTAACTCCACCAACTTCGTTCTATTTCGTACGAAATCGTATGACGATAGCGAAAGCATAACGAACTACATATAGAGTACCGGAAAGCGAAGTCGTATACTTCGCTTCGTTTCGCTTTCGCTACGCTTTCGCTATGCGACACAAGTTACAGAGTCCCACTGCTGGACAAGCGTATGTGCTTTAGATATAATATCACCAAATTAATTGGTGAAGGCCATGCAGCCATGCATAAGACAATTGTATCCATTGTTGGTCAGGAATTCCGGACTAACAATGGATAACAAACTGCTCTTGTACAAGCAAGTGATTAGACCTGTGATTACATACGCTTGTACGGTGTACTGTAGCGCCTCCGCCACTCAACTGAATAGGCTACAGGTGCTACAGAACAAGGTATTCCGAACTACAAACTTTAAATGCGCACAATAGTTTGTAGTTTGTGGTCAGATACTTGGGAAGTGCTCGAAAAACTCATCTTCCTTGATACGGATTTGCAAGCGCATATACGTTGGTGGCTGAGCGCTCCCATAAATGGTGCATAGGTCGCGTGCACGAAGACCGACCCTGGAGGCAAAATATTGAAACACAACCTCATTCTTCTGTGAATTATTGAAACACAACCTCACTTTTTTATTTGGTCACAGAGGAATCAAAAGGTTGAAATAGTTTTTCACAATATTTTGGCATACGAATCGTGTTTCTTGCGTTATTCATTAATTCAAGCATGCCTTCGCATTGTGCTGTTGCACAATGCACAAAAAATGCAGCAAGAGACTAGGGAATATGATTTTTCAGGTAAATAGTAATCTCACATAGTTATCATTATGAAATGTTGTCAATCCTTATTAAAATTCCTTCTGCCTTCTGCCACTTCTGCAATACAAGCTAATGCTGCTAATAGATTGAAAATGTCTACAACACACACGATCGTCAGCATGTCAGACCAGTCCTCCCGATTGATTGCATGAATCCAATCTTCTTGCATTATCCTAGAAATTTCAGGTATATTTCTATAAGCTCCTATTGCAGAAGGAATTCCGATGAGAAATCAGAGGAATAACTAAATTTCAAAAATGAAAACTATATGTGAGTGACTATTCATAGTAGGTACTTACTTTTAAATCATAATGTAGCATCCGCATTCCTTCATCTTCCACTGCAGTTTTTGTGCATTTTACAACAGCACAGTGTGATGGCATGAGCGAATTGATGAATAGCGGAAAAATACGATTCATATGCCAAAATAATTGTGGAAAACTATTTCGATCACTTGTAAACAAATAAGAAGTGTGACGTTGTGTTTCAAGTTTCAATGTTTTGCCTCCAGCGTCGGTCATCTGACAGTTCTTGCACGCAACCTATTGAAATTCTCGTAGTACGACACTGACACTCAGCACTGATAGAAGTGACAGATGACAAAAAGTGAAAGCCCACTAAGCCCAGCCAGAAATAAACAAATCAAATATTATGTGAAATAGATTTTAATATTTAAAATTAATAAATAGTCAGGTTATTAATAATATCAGAAGTATTGTATCTAAATTTTGGAAGATGTCCGCAGACGAAACCGATGAAAATATCGTACTAAAAATTGATAACTCTTCTGTGATCATTAAAAAAAGGGACCTGATTTCAAACAGTGACTATTTTAAAGCAATGTTTGAAAGCGATTTTGTTGAGAAAACTTTGAAGGTGATACCACTCAAGGTAAGAATCACTTATATGAGTTGATAGCAGGGTAATGATTCATGAAATGATTTTATTTATACAGGGTGTGGATCTGAAAGCCATGAATATTATTTTAAAATTAATATCAGATGACAGTTATGATGATGAAGATATTTTAATTGTATTGCAGACAGCATGCATGTTACAATTTAGAAATATAAAGAAAGTGTGTCTGGAAAGAATAACAGAGTTATTATCTTGGAAAACCAGTCTTGAAATTTGGCTGGTTACAGAACAATTAGATGTTCAACCCCTTTTTCTCAAAGCAAAACGTTTATCCTTAGAAGAATTTGTGATGGTTAAAGAAACAGATTCAATACTGCAGTTGAATTTGCAGCAATTGTGCAGTTACCTTGGCCATGTAAATTTGAAAACTGACAATGAGTTATCAGTCTTTCAAACTGCAATGAAATGGTGGTATGAAAATGGAAAAGTATATAAGGAAAACTATATGAAAATAATTCTCCAACTTCTCAGTTGTGTTGATTATAAAAAGTTATTGAATACTCATATGAATGAAATCATAACATATCCTGATTTGGCTAATGTCAAAGAAATTAGGGAAGTTTTGGAATGTCTAGCTCAAATGCACAGAGGATTGACAACAATGGAATTTTCAGGGAACTGCCAAGAAATAGCAGAAAAACTATTACTGCCATGCAGGAGTAGATATTTAGCTTCCTGCCCATGTATTTTAGTTGAATGTAAAAATGCCAAAAAAGATGTTAATAGCATGATTTATTATGGTACTTAATGATTTCCACTATTTTCCACTACTCTATTTCAATTTTATATAAGATATTAACTGAGCTTATATTTCATAGAAACTGAGGATTATAATAACAAAAAAATTCTTCCAAATCAGTACTCCTATAGAGTTGACAAAATTTATGAAAATCCCCTGATGGACAAAATGTAAACACAACTAGCAAAGTGGAAATGATAATGAAGTGAATAATCCTATAATCATTATTCAACTTCTAAGTGGAAATGATAATGCAGTGAATGGTCCTATGATTATTATTCAACTTCTATTGAAGAATTGTTCAATTCTTAACTGCAAATTTTCACTTATGATCCCCCTAGGGAAGGAAATTATTGCCGGAAATTTTCTTGAGTACATGAATTTTTGGGAATGATCATGAGTCAGTCACTAAGCCACAAGTGACGATTTTCTTTGAAAATTCATGTAGGAGACAAATTTCCTGCAATTAATGCATACAAAATATTTCTATTCTATTCTATTCACGTGGGGGATTTGGTAAGAAAATTGTATAGGGGAATTATATTCAAAAAAAGACATTAATATAGAATTTATAGTATCAGATAATTTTTTATATAAACATAATTGATTCCATATGATTTTCTTACTAGTTTGTTGAAAAATAAAAAAATATTGTCAAAATTATTCCAATTTTGTCTAATTATAATATGATAGCTGTCATGTGGCAGAAAATTTCCACTTATTTATTTTATACATGCTCATGTGGATGACAAGTTTACAAAAAAATTGCTGGTTACCATCTGATTGGTTGAAAATGACTGGTATGAAATTTTCATTTTAAAAAGGTTTCTCCATTCTAAGTATAACCGTTTTTACAACTCACACAAAATTGCATTGTTGCTCACAAGCATTATAAATTATAATACTTGTAGGTGTACTTACAACAAAATATTATACAATCATTTATATATACACATAAGGCCCTTTTTTGTATAAAAAGTATAGCACTTTCGTACATTTCCTGTAAATTACACCGAATTTAAGCTTTCTTTCGTAAAGTGCATTTCACATTAGTGTAGTTTATCTCCATCTGGTCTTGGGCAGGTTTGAAACTCGAATTCTGTGTGTGTGTGAAATCTTGATATATGACTCCAAATACATCTGTGATTATATTTATAACTAGCAGACCTCGCAAACGTTGATTTGCTATTTCATATATTTTTTCAGTTCAATATTCATCAAGACACTATTATTATTTTATTTTCTACTTCTTTTTAGTTTCGCTATCTATAAAAGCGTGTTTCTTTAGTTTTTCAAACTACCATTTATTTTAACTTCTCTTTAGTTCACTTGAATTTTCCAATTTTGACGAAAGAATCATAATATCCGACTCCTAAAATCCCAGATGAAAATTTTGAATAGAATCGTAACGTAATTACAAAACTCGTCCGCAATATTGGATCTACCATCTTGAATTCCCTAATTTTGACGAAGGAATCATAATTTTTTATCCCGAAAACGCCCACTTACAAATTTTGAATAGAATCGGTAGGTATATAATTACAAAACTCGCCCGGTATATTGGTTTCACCGTCTTGAATTTCCAGATCCCGCCCTTTCCAAATTTTGACAAAAGAATCATAATCTCCGACCCCGAAAACACCCAGATAACAATTTTGAAGAGAGTCAAATCATAATTACATTACTCGTCCGCCATATATTGGGTCCGCCATCTTGAATTTCATATTTTTGACGAAAGAATCAATCTCCGTCCCCACCAGATACCAAATGTGAATAAAATCGGATCCTAATTACAAAATCCGCCATATTGAATTTCTTAATTTTGACGAAGTAATCATAATCCCCGATCTCGAAAACCCCTAGGTACCAATTTTGAAAAGAATCGGATTATAATTACAAAACTCGTCCGCCATATTGGTCCCGCCATCTTGAATTTCCAAATTCCGACCGAATTTTCAAATTCTGACGAAAGAATCATAATCTCCGACCCCGAAAACCCCCAGATACCAATTTTGAATAGAATCGGACTATAATTACAAAACTCGTCCGATATATTAGATCCGCCATCTTTCTAATTCAATTTTTTTGAAATTAATTCCTTGCGTGCAATTAAAAATCAGAACCTCTAAAGCGGCTCTTGGAAAATTTGGTTTGCCGCCTGTGGCCGCTTCACGGTTGTCATCAGACGTCAGATCATCAGATATTTCAGTTTAAACTAGTTTAAATTGGAGGTGAGATGCTTATGGGAGACTTCGCTTCAAGTTGCCAACCTAAACACCTCTACCAATGTAGAAGCAACATTATGGAAGTTTTATTACTCAAATAGCTTCATTTCGATGAAATCTGATTGTAGGAGTCTGTTCGTCAGCTTACGAATAGAAGTTATTCAGAAGAAAAGTTAATTTTTGTGAACTCCAGTTCAGATTTTTTTTTTGCAATTGCATACCTCGTTGGTCCCAGCACTGGGACCAAACGCCCCATAAGTCGAAACTCGTGCGGGGTAAGGTAAGCAGACAAATACAAACATCCATGGCCTAACTAGGATTCGAACCTATGTCTCGGTGGGAGTCCCCATACGAACTCAGCGCCTTCACGCTCTCGACCACCGAGCCGGTGAAGATTATGTTGATGCACCTGATTTCATTCTGAAATATGTCATATCGTCGTAAATTTTATTACTTGCCACATTTTTGTTACGTATTTGAGATTATCTTATTTATGGGCAAGTCGCAAGACTATTATTCATCATTATTAGGTAAAGAAGTTTGATCGTTGCAGTAGGAAGTAGGAATATACAGTCTGTCCAAGATAAGGTTGAACAGCATGGGGATCTCGGAAACGGTAGGAGATACGAAGTCGCTTAAATGGGGAAAAAGTTGCGCATTCGGAGGCTCATATCAAGAGCCTTCGAAAATTTTGAAAATTATTTTTAGTTTTTGAGTTATATCGAAAAAAGTGAATTTTTGGAATTTCTATTTTATTTTTTTTTCTCCGTTATTATCAGAGATACAGAAAAACTGAAAATACTTTTCCATTGCAACTTTTGATGAGGCTTAACGTGGTGATACCGATTTTTTTATGCGACGTTTCGTATTCGTGGAACCATCATCAACTTTTGTTTTTTGAATACGGTCCTGATAATTTTTTCACAGATTCTGAAAGGTTTTTTTATTCTGAATTCAACAATGTACTATACAAGGTGATTCGAATGTGTTTCGACCTATTTCTATCCATCATCAATGTTTTTTCGAACTTCCAAAAGAAAAAAAGCCATCAGTTCCACTTATTTCTTATCATTCAGTGTCAAACTTGATGGATTAGTTATTCAATACTGAAAAGTGAATAAAACATATTTCACTACATCATTCGATCAATGCAGCGTTTAAAATTGTTGATGAATTCTTACACGAATTACTTTAACAACTTAACTTTGACAATACCTACAGAGACATTCATAACAAATGTTCAAAATGATAACCATTATTCTCTGAACAAAGATATCCTCTTCTCACAGTTGTTTCTAAGACATTGCTCAGTATTTCTGGGGTTATTCTATTGAATGCTTCGAAGACACTGTCTAGTTCTTCTTCATCCTCAAAGTTATTTGCGTGTACAAAGTTCGATATATCCCCTAAGAAAAAATCCAGCTGTGTTAAATCAGGCGACCGCGCCGGCCAAGGGATAAAAACGCACGGACTTCTCTGGAATTATGTACCGGAGCGCCATCTTGTTGAAATCAACAGAGTTCTGAACTTCCGCAATCGGTAAATCATCCAGAGCTTCCTCAAGATGATTCTCAAGCGAATTTCTATAACGTTCGGAAGTCTGTGTTTCATGGTAAATAGAAGGAACAATAATTCGTGTACCAAATATTGCCACCCACATATTAAAGCCGAAACGGTGTTGGTGTCTCGCTGTAATGTATAAATGTTCATTTTCTCGTGAACAATAATGTGTATTTTTTCTATCGAAGCTACCATGATTAGTGACCATGCTTTCATCAGTCCTGATGATTGTTCGAAAGAAATCTGCAAAATTTTAACATTTCCTGGTATACCACTCACAGGATGTCTTGCGCCTTTCGTCATCTCCTGGTTTTAGCGCTTGACATATTCTGAATTTGTATGGATGGAATTTTTGTTTCCGCAAAATGAAATGGGTTGTTGATTGAAACCAGTTGATGAGGTATTAGTGTGTTGACTAATTTTCCTTCAAAATAAGTGGAACTGATGGCATTTTTCCTTTGGAGTTTCGAAAAAACATTGATGATGGATGGAAATAGGTCGAAACACAAATGAACCACCTTGTATAATACATGGTTGAATTCAGAATAAAAAAACCTTTTAGAATCTGTGAAAAAATTATCAGGACCGTATTTAAAAAACAAAAGTTGATGATGGTTCCACGAATACGAAACGTCGCATGAAAAAATCTGTATCACCACGTTGACCGTCATCAAAAGTTGCTATGAAAAAGTATTCTCAGTTTTGCTGTATCTCTAATAATAACGGAGAAAAAAAATAAAATAGAAATTAAAAAAATTCACTTTTTTCGATATAACTCAAGAACTAAAAATAATTTTCAAAATTTTCGAAGGCTCTTGATATGAGCCTCCGAATGCGCAACTTTTTCCCCATTTAACCGATTTCGTATCTCTTACCGTTTTCGAGATCCCCATGCTGTTCAACCTTATCTTGGACAGACTGTATATTTGAGTGCTAAGAATCGATCCGGACATGACTTGGTATGAATAAAATAATGAAGTTTCAACCTTCTGAAATGGAAAATAACCCAAGGAACTGTGTTCAAGTGGATGAAACCATAACCGTTTGGAAACGAAGAAATTGATAGTAAAAAAATAACAATAGGGAAAAGAAATCGTTCAATAAATACTTCCAAAATAAAGCTTACATGACTCACCTTGGATAAAAACTGGTCAAAGTTTCCAATAATAGAGATACAGTCGTATTCAATAAAAAAGCGTACAAGTATTAAACATAG